TATCGTTACTACGGAGCTCATATTACGGCTATGCAGGGCAAATTTAACAAATCGGATGAACAATATATATGGGAGCTATAGTTATATCTGAACCGATTTTCACCAAATTTGACATACTGGTTTCTAGACTCAATTTGGTCGTAAGTACCAAATTCCATTCTATTTGGGATAATATTACACGTTTGGTGCACAATAAAAGGCAAATCGGACGACGATATATATGAGACTTATATCCAGATAAAAATAAAAATAAAATTTTGCAAGGGTATTTCTGAGTTAAATTTTATATATTTCCCCAAATATCGTTGTTACAGGGTGCATATTACGGCTGCGGAGGACAAAAATGAAAAATCGGATTGTAAATTGGGATCAATTAAAAGACCAAACGTCTTTTCCATTTGAGCGTTTGTAAGACACTGAATTTATTTATTAAAAACATTTCTTAAGAACTAGTTGTGATAATATGACTTAACCTAAATTATAACTAAGTGTAAATGAGAGAGAGAGAGAGAGAGAGAGAGATAGATACCAACCGTACACATGCATATGCACCATGCCACCATAAACCTTAGGGGGAGGTCATACACACGCATAGCTATCTCACATGTGGCAAGCAAACATGCTGCACTTGCTTATCAGTCTGAGTAAAGATTACATCCCATAATCTAACTCCACCATAACACATGCAGCAATTGAAAATTCTGTATTATTTATTTCTAACTCGAAGGTCTGCTCACCACATTTTCTTATCTTATTTCATGTGGTCTGTATTAAGAAGATCCCAGTTTAACAAATCCCTCTCATCTACACTAGGTAGCCCCGCTATTCTCTTTTATTATAAAAACATGTTCACTTATCCGTGAACACGGATGAAAAATATATATGGGAGCTATATCTATATCTGAACCGATTTCGATCAAATTTGGCATACTTATTTTCTCCAGACTATTTGGACTGATATTACAAGTTTGGTGTACAATATAAGACAAATTTGACGAAAGTATATATGGGAGCTATACCTAAATTTTGACCGATTATCTCCAATTTGTTTATTTAATTTCATTGACATTTCGGCATCAATAACTCAGCATTTAGATGTCTTAAATGCTTCATAACTCGTAGAAACATTCTTGTCATAGGTAAGGAGACATTGTCTAAAAATCAAACCTCAATATTATCTGAGGGGCGGTCAAATTCATTGACAGTTCTTTTAAAATACATGGATTTCTTTTAATAAATAGAGGATGTAGCGGTTCTTAAAGTTGCATTTCCATATTGAGTATATACATTTAATTATTATACTCAGCTATATGGCTACAGAGGGTATATATCATTTGATACGATAAAAACGTGTCTCATCGAAATAAAGTCTTAAGACCCTAGGTCTCATGGCACCAAATCCGCTCCAGGACATTTGGAGTCGATCTAGCAATGTCCTTCCGTGTGTCTGTCTGGCCGATTTGATTCAAACCTAATACGTCGTCATATTATTGCAAACATAAGTCGAGTTCGGAGATGGGCAACATTGGCCCACAATATCAATAGCATCGCTCACAAAAGATAAAATTTTTCACAGAAAACGATTTTCCCAATAGAACAGGAATGGATCAAATATTTACATCAGTGTTATGTCAGGTGCGAAAATGGACAATATCGGTAAACTCTATCATGTACCTTCCCCACAAAGGGTAAAAATTTTGATCAATGCAAAGTATTCATCCGGTTCCCTTCAAATTTCACACAGCCCAATATTTCCATAAACACAAAATCTGTTGTGAAGCTGAGAGATATCGGCCCAACCCTTCTGAGGTTTACAAGTTTCAATACCTACAGGCTGAGATAAAAAAAACTGCAACAAAGTCAAACGCCATAATTTTAATTTTTTTTCTTAATTGTCGGAAATAGCATCAAATTTTAGAATAGTTTAGATTTGTTCGAATTGGTCACCTTTGACACGAATTATAACCTTCAAACGGCCAATTAAACCTTTACACGCTGCCCGAATGTTGCTCTGCGGTATTTTGAACCATTCCCGGCGAAGCCTTGCTAGAGGTGATCGACACTTTGGTATTTTTTAGTGCCAACTCTGCTTTCCAAAATACTCCAGACACAATAGTCTAACGGATTGGTATCCGGAGATTTTGGTGGCCATTGTGAGCTGGAAATGAAGAGAGGAACCTCATTTTGTAACCATTCTTGGGTGGCGCGTGCTGAGTGCGATGGCGCTGAGTCCTGTTGGAATGTCCAAGGTCTGCGGCCAAAATGCTTGCGTGCCCAAGGCTTTAATACACCCTCCAGAGTATTTTCGCTATAATATTCGACATTTATTCTGATGCCACGGTCGATTAATACGAGCGAAGAGCGACCATCGGCTGTTATGGCGGCCCACACCATCACCATGGCCGGCGCTTGAGTTCTGGTGGCCAACCGAAGTTGCACATTTTCAGATGACCTCTTTGGCAAGTAAACACGATCATTTTGTTTGTTAACCAACTGCTGGTCAACGAATATTTTCTCATCGGAGAAAACCAAATTCGGCAGTTCACCACTTTCGGCCAAGCGAAGCAACTCTTTAGCTCTTTTGAGTCTATTTTCTTTCTGTTGCGGTGTAAATTCTTGAACTTTTTGGAATTTCAATGGTTTTACCCCGAGCTTATTTTTCAATATTTGAAGAATGGAACATTACATGTTCAGCTCACGAGCCATTTTTCGGCCACTGCGACGCAGGTTTCGATCAAGTCGCTTCTTTGCTTTTTGAACCATTTCTGCTGATGTTGCTGTTTTTTCCGCCCACTTCCACGTCGGGCTACGCTCCCAGTATCACGGTAACGAGCGATCTTACGAGACACAAAAGATTTAGTGACATTTAAATGCTGGAGTGCTCTAACGATAGCCACTCGTTGTTTTCCAGGCAAATATAAATCACACAATCACGCTTGAATTCCAATACAAATAATTTTTTTCTGGAAAATTTTCACCAAAATGCTTTTGTACGCTTGTAAACAATATAATCCGCTGTCACTGGAAAAATTATAACAACTGTCGGACGAGTGGCTTAGAAATGACATCAGTCTGAAGTTGGTTGCAGTTTTGCGATTTGATCCAAACTAAGTACGTTGTCATATTATTGTCAAACTAAGATCAGAGATGGGCAATATCCGTCCACTCTTTCTGGTACCTCCCCCAGAAAGGATCAAAAGTTGGAAAAATTATAAATGTTATAAAATGTAAAATATGAGTCCGGTGGTCTTTAAATTTTGCACATCTCAATACTTCCACCAACACAAGATGTGTTATGTTATAAAGAACAGATAGAACGCATCACATCTTTAGGTACCTCAGGTCAGAATTTTTAATAACCATTAAATTCCTAAAACGCGAAATAAGCATCCGATTCCATTTAAACCCGGCACATCGTAATATTTCTATCAATGCCAGATCTGCTGTGGAGATGGGATATATAGGTGCACTCCTTCTGGTACCTCCCCCATAAAGGGCCAAAATGTTGGAGGACAAGATGTTCATAAAATGCGAAATAAGCACCCGATTCTCTTTAAATTTCACCCCAATATTTTTACTAACGAAAGATCTATGTCGATGTCCGTTCCTCTGTCCGTCCGTCTGTGAAACTCACTCTAGCTTCTGAACGAATTTAAGTAGCTTGATTAAATTTTACTCAGATGTGTTTTTGGTCTGCAGGACTTTTGGTTTTGAAAAAGGTTATATAGGTCTACGTTTAGGTATAACCCCCATATAACAGTACCTCCCGATATTCGCTATGTTGATGCTTTTAGCGAAACTATTCACCGGATTTTTTTCAAATTACGTATTTAGAGTTCGTAGTGGATACGACAGCCTGTGAGAGAACATTTCCTATGCAGGTCCACGACTTCGCATAAACTCCAAAATAACGGTAACTTCCTGTGTTCGGCAGTTTTAAGATTTTACCACAATTTTGAAGGAATATATATATATATATATATATATATATATATATATATATATTTTTTTTTTTTTTTTTTTTTTTTTTTTTTTTTTTTTTTTTTTTTTTTTTGATAAAATCTCTAAGTTCGTTCCAAATGGTGGAGGGTATTCAAAGTTTGGCCCGACCGAACTTACTGCTTTGTAATTTGTAATTTTCTTTTTTTTTTTTTTTGATTAACAATTATTCGCATTAAATTAGAAATAATTGTTCGACTTTTTTTCTTCAGAACTACCCCATAAAGGGTCGACATTTAGTATATTTGCGATATATTTAATAAACGGCTGAGGGTATTAATCTCTCGGCGAAACCGACTGATTCTTTTTAACTTGTTAATGGTTTATTCGCCTCATACAAATTCGAAGTTTTTTCTGGTTCTCCATATTCCTCAAACCATTCTATACTAATCGTATCTGTTAACATACACTGTTCGCCATAACATATTACTGTAAAGACATGTTAAGCCCAAATTGGTAATCTCCTAATGGTAATGAAAGATCAAGGTCATATTTCATGGTCCACTTGTGTTCGTGTTTCTGCTTGAGTTCCAAATACAAATACGAAACGGCTATACAAACACATAGCCGAATAAATAAAAAAAAAACATTTTTAATATACAATAAATTATGGGAATTTAACGCATACACGGCAATAACAATAACAGCAACAACAACAACCACATAACCATTCTTCATCATGTTGTGTTGTTGTATGGCACATAAAATCTTTTGAGCGTCGTCTTACGATTTCTCGGCTACTTGAGGACAATGATATTTATGAAACATCCATTATAACGTCCCTTTCGATTTATTCTCCATCCATTATTGTCAGTGTCGTCATTGTTTTCCTGTTTACCATTCGATTTATTTTCCTGTTGATGTTGACTTTCATAATATCTGTTTCCTTCTCTCTTTCTCTTTCTATGTGTCCTTTGTCGCCTCGTTCTTCATTCCCCCGGATTCGAATCGTACGAATTTTTTGGAATTTATGGTATCCTCGATGGCCGCACCACCAGCAGCAGTAGCAGCAGCATTCGAACAATCCATAAGACGATGATGCTGTTGATGATAATCTCCATATGTTTGCAGTTTTTAAAAACGAATGTAATGCCAATCAAGTAATGGAATTTTTAACGGTAAGTCATTTGTCAATCTAACAAATCCTCATAGAATTGAAATGAAACGAGACGATGTGATACGATACGAATCGAATGGAAGTGAAGTGAAATGAAGCTAAAAAGAAATCATGTGGAAGTGCGAAAACAGAAATCATTGTTAGCAAATGTTTACACTATTGGAGTCTGCTCATAAAATATGTCCTGATTGGAAAACGTAATCTGAGCCATACGAAATTGTCATTGATATTTGTAGTTATTTGTGCTGGGAAAGAAATCGTATATTTCCTTTGTTATTTATTAATTTTTCGCATAAGAATGTGATTTCTAAATATGTCATGCATTTTTTTTTTTTTTTTTTTTTTTTTTTTTGAAAATCCAGAAAGTTCTGAATGGTTATAGGGGGAGGGGGGGTTACAAAAGAATATCAATTTTCAGGAAAAATAACAATTTCTTTGGAAATTGGTCAACAAACACAACAAGCCAATATTTTCAAAATATTTTCGACAGGAAACCTCAATAGCTAGTGGCAGATTCCCCATAATCCTGTCAATTATAAAAGAGTACATAATAATGGAAAACAAGAACATGGATTTTTTCTTTGATAATTGTGTCTGAGACCTGAAAAATACCTACACTTTGGAGTTTAAATTTCTGGTTTCGGAATTCTTTTATACCCTCCGCCACACTATGGAGGGTATATTAACTTTCTCATTCCGTTTGTAACTTATGCAAGATCTAACAAAGTATACATTTCTGGATTAGCGTAAAATTCTAAGTCGATCCATCGATGTCCGTCTATCTGTGTGTCTGTCCGTTGTAATCATATGGCCCTTATATAACAGTATCTTCCAATATTCGGTATTTTCATGATTTTAGTGACATTATTCACTGGAATTGTTTTACATTTCGTATTGAAAAACCTTAATGGATACTTCAACCTATGACAGAAAATTGTCAATGCAGGACCGTACGCATACCCTTCATATAACAGTATCTCCCTTTTCGGTGTTTTGGTGTTTTTAGCGACATTATTCACCGGAATTGTTTTAAATTTCCTATTTGAAGGGTACTACAGGCTATGACAAAAAATTGCGTATGCAGGTCCTCGTCTTCGTATAGCCCCATAAACCACATTTTTCGACGATTTTTTTTTAAGTTTTTCAAGTTCCTTCCAAATGGTGCAGGGTATTAAAAGTTTGGCCCGCCGGAACTTATATGTTTTTTACTTATTCTATTTCATTTAACAACCACCAAGAGGTGGACAAATCTATGCAAAATGTTATTCGAAGATATGGAGTAACTTGCAGAATGGTTTTTTTTCATCCACTACAAAGTTGAAAACAAAAATTGCAAAGCATTTGTTTATACTAGGGTTTCGATGTCGTAATATAAGTAATAAACTCAAAACTCCGGGTTTATTTCTTTAGAATACCTTTAACCGTGCAGTATCGTTACATAAGGCATATGCCTTAATGGAATTGGAAAATTCGAAATCCCAAAGACCGTGGAATTGATTCAAAACGATTCAAAATTCACAAATTTTGATTTAAGCTCTCATGGAGCCACTTTAATGTCATACTAAACTTCAATAGAACCAAATTTTTAAACCAAATGTTTGAGTTTCCAAAAAAATGTGTCTGTCATTTTTTGGCAGACATTGCCTCAACTTATGTCTAATAATAAAATATATTATGACTTGATTATTTAAAATATCTACCCTTTATTGGGAAGGTACCGAAGGAGTCTGATATAATTTTTGTGAAGTGTCAGGTTTCGACTACTTCCTCCCCTTTATTTATAATAGTTCTACATATTTTTTAGAAAATGTTGAACTTTCCTGGAGGAGATTGGAAGAAGTGTGGATGTATTAAAAAAGCTAAAACCAATTCTAATAAAAATATTGAAATGTCCAACAATTACTTAAATCCAGTTTTTTTGTGGGAGGTAGTAGAAGGAGTGGACCGACATATTTACATAACACCAATGGCTTACAGAAATATTAATATTTTACTCTTTTTGGGCGAAAGATCTGAAAGAATGGGCCGATGAGTTCCATATCCACACTACAACTAATGTGTGAGTCGGAAGAAATATCGAATAATCCCTTCAAATTTTACAACACTTAATTTTTGACCCCCTAGATCTCGTTTTAGTCAGAGAGATGAGATATACATTGTTCAAAGGGCATCGCTGACTTGTTTCGCATGTTTTAAGGGTTATGAGTAATCAAATATTCCAAATATTTATCCTTTGTGGGGGATGTAACAGAAAGAGAGGTCCGGTATATTCCATATTTGCACCAGATATTGTGCTGATAAAAATATTGACATGTGCGAACTTCAAAGACAGCCGTATTTTTATTTCACATTTTATATGAGTTATAATAATTCAAAATGTTGACCTTTTGTGAGGCATGCACCTGATGGAGTGGTCCTACATAATCCTAAATCACCCTAGATCTTGTGTTGATATGACTATTGCGATGTGCCGAGTTTGAATGGAATCGTATGCTCACATCCCGTTTTATGAGCTTCTTAGTTATTCAAAAATTTGGTTCGTTGTGGGGGAAGTACTAGAAGGAGTGAGCCGATATCTGCCACCTTCACACCAGAGCTTGTGTTAATAAAAATATTGGGATGAGTGAAATTTGAACAGAACTAGAAGCTTATTTCTCGTTTTATGAGAGACATTAAAATATTCAAAATTTATTTATTTTATAGAATCAACTTCTGAGTCGATTTATGCATGTCAGTCCGTCTGTCCGTCCATGTATTTTCGTGAAAAAAATGCAGGTCGCATTTATAATCCGATTGGGATGCAATTTTCCAAACAATATTTGTTTGGCCCAAGGATGAACCTTATTGAAATTGGTGATAATCGGATCAGATTTAGATATAGCTCCCATGTATTTCCCATCGATTTTGGGTTAATTGTACACCAAATGGCCAATATCAATCTAAATGTCCTGAATTTTTTAGCACATCCAACCGAATTCAGTCTAGAAGCAAGTACAAGTAATCTGGAGAAAATCGGAGCAGATACAGCCATAGCTCCCATATATATGTTTCATTTGATTAGGGGATTAAGTCCCTCACATTCTTAATATGCATTCGACAACAATGATATTTGGTACCATATATCTTATAGAACTCGGAAATCTCTCTGCCAAATTTTATCGAGATCGACTAAAATTTGAATATAGCTCCCATATATATTCCTTACACGATTTCAGGTTTATTGTGGAAATAATGGCTAATATCAGCCCAAATGGAGTGAATTTCAATTCCATTTTGTGGATCTCCGCTCCGATATATTTTTCAACGGAATTGCCTGAAATTATACACAAGGAGAATTTTGCACTGATCTGTCTTTTGTCTGCAGGCAGGTCAAGTTCGAAGATGGGCTATATCGGTCCACGATATCGTATATCCCCCATATAACGGTACCCCCCGATATTCGGTATTTTGATGATTTTAGCCACATTTTCCAATGATATTGTCTGAAATTCCACACAAGGAGTTCCTTGTGAGTACTTCATCCCCTGGAAGATAATTATCCATATAGGTCCACGATATCGTATAGCCCCAATATAACGGCAACTCTTCGATATTAGGTATTTTGATGATTTTAGCCACATTTTTCAACGGAATTAGAGGACATTCTGAATTAACTAAATTTGTAAAAATCGGTCCAGCCATTCTTGAGATATAGACATCCTAGCTAGCATCCCCTTCCTTTGTATATACACATTGTATATATTTCGCTATATATATCCGATATATTTACTATCGGCATCTACGTAACAGTCAGAATTGACCTGTTCGTCTATTTGTGATTTTGCCGGGATTAAAAATATTCGCGTTTTAATGGAAATTTTGACTTTTATTTAACCCAAATGTTATGGTCTATTTAAACTACTAAATATTACCCCATGACCGACAAAATTCGAAGACTTCTGCCTAGCCCTAAGCCAGCCCCAGCCCAGCCCCATGCTAACTTCCGCGTCGATTGGTCTATAATTTTGATCTGTAGAGCAACTGCAAAATCAGGAAATTTTTCAGTTTTTGGTCCAATTCAACCCCTAATTATTATGCAATCATCTCCAAAAAAATAGTAGCCTGGCCTTATCCTCACCTACATTCTAAATTTCGTGAGTATCGGGCCATAATTGCGACCTGTAGAGTGATTAACGTGGACAGACGTACGGACGAACATACATAGCTAGATCGACTCAACTTGGTGAGATAGGAAGATCCATATATACTTTCCTATGTGGGAAACCAATATTTCGAGGTATTACATAATTTTTGGACCAATCCAATTATAATACCCCCAACACATAGTGGGGGGTATTATAAGTTTGTTTTCAGCAGAGAACATCACTGATTTCCAATTCCTTGACAAATTTTCCAATACACCGAAGCAAATAATAGTATTCATTTGTGATTAATTAGTTCCTGCAAAAAGTCACTCAAATCCCCTCCATTAAATATTATCCCACACAAAATACAACAAGAGGTTAAGTGGATCCCCATTAGGATACCACCCGAAAGCCATGTTCAGCACAACATTTTATGGTCAAGCTTTGGGGAAGCAAAAATAACGAAACTATTTAAACAAAACGGAGAAATAAAAAGAAAAACAACAAAAAAGCAAATGCAAATAAAACAACTCGAAGACAATGAAACGAAACATTAATGACTTGTTCTTTGCATCAATGCAAAATGAAACAACTTTTTAATGCCACTAACTTACAATTTCATTCGTCGTCGTCCTTTCCCCTCCCCTCCCTTCTCTTCTATTTTTTTGTTTTAACGACTATTATGAGATATTGTAATGTGGCACGCGAGTGCAAAACCCTTTTAGCTGTTGGCTTTTCACAATAATGCTCTTCGCTGTTAAAACAAAGAACACCAAAAACAAAAAAAAAAGATCGAAATACCAACGAACAAAACAAGAAAAAACGACAAATGAAGGAAAACAATCAAAAATTGTGTAATCCTTTCTGGGGGAAAACT